GTCGAGTTTAAAATTTATATAACTCGAATCAAGTTGAGTTGAAAAATTTTATAAAATAAATTTGACTCGACTCGACTTGAAAAAAATGAGTTGAATCGAGTTGATCCTTAAACTCGACTCAACTCAACTCATTCGAAACTCTATCCATTAATTACTATGTTTACACGTTTGAATGTAAAATCTATTTCTAATGATTTAATCTTGCATAAAAAATGAAACTGTTATTTGCTCATACAAAGAACTAAGATTTGACTACTTGGAAAAATACCTGTAAAGTAATTTACATGAATATTTTTATTTCAAATGAATAAAGACAAACTGATAAAATATTTAATACTTACAGATGTCTCTAATATAAGGATCATTTTTATCTATATTAAGTTGACGTAAGATTTTATTAACTATACCTATAAATTTAATAAATTCAATATTTTAAATCTTTAAAAGTCATTATAATGTAAAAAATAATTATAATTTCAATTCACCTAACAAATCAGATCTATGAGAATATTTTGTTCGTCTAGACTTACGTATGTAATAATTGATTTTGATTTGATTGTTAAATGATGGGTATAATTCATTGAGTTGAGTATCATTTAAGTAAGCTTTGATAAGGGAACCTAAGGGTATAGATTAAAAGTAATTATTATAATAAAGCTATGAAAAAGTTTAAATTTTAAAGCTTATCACTTGTAAGTTTTTGAGCTATTAAGTTTAAACAATCATCAGTATTTAAAATCTGTTAAAATTGCTTTACTATAGAAGAAGGAGTTTTTGTTGATGAAGAAGGTGAATGTTTATGAATATCTTTTGAAATAATAATTATAATAGGACACTTTACTAAATCAAATAATACAAAATGATAAAATTTAACATTGCATCCTTTTTTAATAATAGGATATCAAAAACTATTCTATCAACTATATGAGGATATTCTAAATATATTTTAAGTTAGTTTGATGTTTGACTTATAAATGAAAATAAAATAAAAACAAATTCTCACTACATGTTATTTTTGTATTAGTCAATGGATACACTGATTTACAATTTTCTACAGATAAAGAATTTTTATCTAAGTGTTCTTAATAAATAATTTAGTAATTAAAATTAGTAAATTATTTAGCTGATAATTCATTTATCTTATTGTCAACTTTACCTCAATATTGTCATCTAATTTGTAAAAATTATAGTCTTTGAAAAGTTGTCCATTACTTAATAAAATAAAGACTGATAAAAAATAGATTATTGTATACACACTATTTGATAGTGAAATTTTAGAATAGAAGTTTCATTATAATTAATCTTCTCATTTTCAGTATAAAGAGTAAATTTATATGGAATTTTAAATGATGCAATGTATTGGCTATATTTGTAAAACAATTTAGTAACTAGTAAACATTTTAAATAAATGATCAACATATTTTTAATTAATTACATAATGTAAGTTTGTAATATGGTATCCAGGATGGCATGGTCACATTTTTTTCGCACTTTTTACCATTTTTTCACACTTTTGGTGTAATCGCATTTTTTGGTAAATTTTATATTTTTCATAATATCCACAGTAAATCAAATTTTATTAGTTGATTACATCATTTAAAAATTACTATTTTTTCTATTTTTTTCAAATGATGATCATTTCTTTATTCTTTTTTTATGAAAATGGTTAGCGCTTATGTACGTTTATCTCAAAGTTCTTTGTATTGAGAAAATTATATTCTTCAAGAAAATATATTATAGTGCTAGTTTTGCAATGTAAAGTTGATCATGAAGTAAAATCTGTTATAGATAAACATCTTCAAACTTTCAAACATGAAAATAATAAAAAAAATACAAATAACTCTAATTATTTAATTCAAAAAACTATAACTTCATTAGTTGGAAATACTTTAAATGAAAAAGAAATAATAAACTGTAAAGTTATTGAAGCTTTTACTTTTACGGATATTTCTTTAGAAAAAATTGAAAAACTTAAACCATTTTTATTGAAATATTGTAAAAATGGTATGTATATAAATTTCCACTTTTTATTTAATTTATGGTATTTAATTTATTTAATAAATTAATAATAATTTTTAGGAGATTAATTACTAATTTAAATTAACTTTGTGAAAAATATTTTTCAATGTTATATAAAATAGAACTTCAAAAATTAAAAAATAGTATCGCTGATAAGATTATTTGTATAATAGTTGATGAAACAACAGATTGGTATGATCGATATGCCGTTAATTTTTTATTTAGTTTTGGTAATCAAACTAAATTAGCTAGGACTTGAATTTTTATCTAATGTAAATGCTTCATCTATTTTCTAATTTGTCATGAATATGCTTCATTTTTATATTTCTTACGAAAATATTTTTTTTTATATTTGATAATGCTTCGTATATAAAATTAGCTTATTCACACTTGTCTCCTTTTTTACCAAAAATGATGTATAATTGTTGTTTAGCACACATTATTAATTTAATTAGAGAAATATAGATTGATTTTTAAAAATTCGAATTAGTTGATAAATTAGTCAAAAATTTTAAAGCAATATTTGTTTATAACTCAAAAAGAAAAATTCGTTGGAAAGAGCATTTATTGCAAAATAATATTAAAGATCCTACTTTAGTACTATTATCAATAAAAACATAGTGAAATTCATGGTTTTTATTTTTATGTTAAATTAAACCTTTATATTCTCATTTAATTATATTTATTAATGTGAAATATTCTATTAATTATGATTCAAAAGTTATTTAAAATCTTTATTCTTTTTGTCAAAACTAAAACAATAATTTATATGTTAGAATTTTTATATATTTTATCACATATAATTGCACCTGGTAAGAAAAAATTTAATTATTATAATTTATTAAATATATAAATTTATTAAATAATACTAATTGTTAATTAAATTTTATTTAGGTTGGTTAATAACTTAGAATTTTTTAAAATACGAAATAAAGCAATAGCTCTATTTGTTTATTCATGAATAGTAAATTTTTAAGCTTTTCTTTTGTTAGGAAAAAAAAATCCTCTAATTTCAAATGAAATAGAATGAATTTTGAAAAGAACAAATTATGATAAGGATCTATTTGTTTTATTATTTTTTAAAGCTTTTGCATTAGCTTATAAAAAGTGTGAAAATCACATACCTTATTATCTAGCTTTATCATTATTCAAAGCAATACAATACTTTAATCCAAGATTTATTCAATCTAATATAGTTAATCATAATATAACAGATTATAGGATTATTAAAGAATTTCATTCTCCTACTGACATTTTAATATAAGAATAGGCTATTTATTACAGGCTTAATGAAACAGCTAAGGAATTAGTAGATCTAAATATATATTAGTAAAATAAAACACATTTATTATAAGAACTTAATGCATTATCTTTAGTATATATTTGGTTACCAGTATCTGGAGTGGATGTTAAATGTAGTTTTTCTAGTTATAAAAATATCTTATTAGATAGAAGGTTGCACTTAAAGAAGAAAGCATTCAGATGCTTAATTTTCTTTACTTTAATTTAGATAGTAATATTAATTATAATTTGTTAATTATAGTTTAAATATATTATTTTAATAAATAAAATAAATATAAATTTGTTTGTGTAGCATAATAAATATTAATTTTGGTTGAAATTATGTTAATTCTGGTCAGCATTAAGATTGCACCAAATCACATTTTTTAACTAAATCACACTATACTTTTTAGGTCATCACATCATGAAATCCTGAACACTCTAACTCGTAAGAAGATAATTCTCTCATTTCAAAAATTTCTTTATTTGTATCATCTTCAAAATTTACATAAGAATATTTATCTTCTAAAAAACTAGAAATAGCTAATTTACATATTTTAACTCCCCTGCATATTCGTTATTCAACTTTACATTATCAATATAACCATTTTCTACGTTAATAACATTATTTTTATTATCAATATAATCATCTTCTACTTTTATATTAGTAATAACATTTACACCACCAATATTAAAATTTTCCATTAGGTCTTCATTTTCTATTGTTGCTTCAGAAGCATTAGAATTCTATGAAGTTGAAGTGATTGAAGTGGTTTCCTCTTCAGTCATGTTTATAATATTTTTTTAATATTAATAAAATATATAAAATATAAAAAAAAATATATATTAGGGGGTATACCACTTATTTGATAAAAAGAAGATCAGAAATCTAACATACTTTTGAGTCAAAAGTCTTTGAGAAATTTGAAATGATTGTACTACATTTAAATATATATTTAGTATAATCAATTATATATGCAGATCTTTTACTATTTGTACTATACTCACTGCATAAAGTGTACTATATATACCCAATTGAATCACCACTATAAATTGATAAAAAAGTCTAGTCTAGCTGAATTAAATAAAGCTCAGTGTTATGAGAGTGAAAAAGGCTTTTAATACTTAGATATTAAAGCTATTTTAGGAATTTATTTTAAGAAATTACCAAGTATACAAAAATATCAACATTTTCTTTTTGAAGCATTTAATCTTGATATGGTCAAAGCTCAGGAAATTGCTAATAGATCTTTTACTAAATTCAATTTATTGAAAACCAAGAAAACAGATATTTTTGAAGAGATTAAAGCTTTATCTATTTTAGTGTTAACACTACCTCTTTTGGATTACAAAAAGTAAGAATATCTTTATTAGAATATTTGTCTATTTGTCAGAGGTGAATTCAAAGATATTACTTATCCAAGACCATTCTATACTGGCAACAAATAAAATCATTAAGATTAATAAGTTTGATTTTTTGACAAATATGATTAGTTTTAGAATAAAAAGTACTAAAACAATTTATATACTTAATATGTCCTCATAAAAAGGATATAAGCAGGGTTGGAAAATTTGTATGTACTAGGCAAATTTTAACCTTGTACTTGTACTGTACTGTACTAAATTTTATATTAATTATTATGTGTACTAACTGTACTAAACTGTACTAAGCTGTACTAACTGTACTGATTTCCCAACCCTGGATATAAGTATATTAAAAGAAGAAGAATAATAATAATAATAAATGACAAACTAAAATAACATTTTAACTGAAGAGAAAATAAAAGAACTAATTGGTAATTTAAACTGAAATCTAAATGAAGCAGAGATAAGAGCAGTTATAAATTATTTTTGACTTTGCCCTTATGCATTAAAATACTTAGAAAACAAAGAATTTAGAAAAAGTTTTGTTTACCTTATTTACATGCATAAAAATGCAATGGATTAATGAACAGAAGCTGATAAAGAAATTAAAAGACTACAGCTACTAACATCTAGTTTAGAGAAAGAGAAAAATGAATTGCTTGAAAAAATTAAGAAATTAGAAGCAAGAGTAGAAGAGTTAGATGATGAAGTATGAATGGGGTAAGAAGAAGCTGAAAAAGCACTAAATAAAGCCATAGAATAGAGAAAATGACAAATGTTTGAAATTGTGTTGAAGCATGATGCTGCAATAGGTAAATTTCAAGACCAAATAAATTTATTAGAAAATAATTTAGCTGCTAAAAATCAGGAGATAAACTGAAAAAATTATTTAGCAACCAAAGAATTACCATTTTTATTAAAGAAACAAAAAGAAAATAGATTATGCAAACTTAAAAAATTAGTAAATAAGGTAAAAGAAAAAACTAAAGAGAAGTTTCAGACTTTTATTGTTCAAAAGAACAAGTAAATTAATATGAGATTAAAATATAGAATTCTAGAAATAGCCTAGAGAGATGAACAAGAGTATAACTTTTGCTTTTTAGATTTTGATGATCTAACTCTTCTTAATTTTGATACTGCTTCTGCTACTTATCAAATAATGGCTTATAATACTCTTGATGGTTATTCTAACATTATCTTTATCTGTGATGAATGTAAAAAAAGATTATGATAATAATACTCTTCCATAATGTGAGAAATGTGGTAGGCTAAAAAGGAATAGAAACAGATGTTTTTATAGTCATTTAAAAGCTAAATTAACTAAACCACTTTCTGACAAAAGACTACTTTTACAAGCCTTCAGTTTTCATCTAGAAAATAAAATTAGAGAACTAGAAAAAGAATTGTTAATTACCAAAGAAGAATTAAAAATTGAAAGAGAAAAAGTAACTAAGTTTTAGGAAAAATCAGAAAAATGAAGTAAAAAGCAAAAACAGAAGTTATTAGATAAGATAAAAAGTTTAGAAGAAAAAATTAATTATCTAAAAGAAGAAAACAAGAAATTAAAAGATCAACAAAATGGCCAAATTGCTCAAATTAAAGTTAAAGAGACTAAAAGATGATCTTGATTGAAAATAAAAAAGTAATTGAGAAAATTTATTCTAACTATCAAAGAAAATGGTATTTATTTTCCTTTTAAAGTTTTTTGCTTTTTATTAGATAATAATATATCATCATGATACTTTCTTTTTTCAACATTTATTATTTTTCTTTTTTCTTGATAAATTTCATAGGTAATTCTTTCTTTTCTTAGATAAGTTTTCAGTATCTAAGTATCATTTATTTTGAAATGTAAGAAGCAATTTTTTCACCTTATTCCTTTTTTAGAATACTTCTAATGGTACTGTAATTCTTGGGTTCCATAGTAGATCTGATATAAATGAGTTTCATATTAACTATTTTATATAGAGACAGTTCTATATATCACTTAACAAATAAAAGCATTATAAACTAATTGTGATGATAATAACTAAATTTTGATTTCTGAAATCTTTGGTAATACTAATATTCACTTTGTCTGGTTTTATTACAGTATGTCCTATATGTTTCTTGATATTTTTAAACACCTTTTTACTAAAGAAGTCTTAAACTTTCAAAAACTAAAAAATTACATTACGCCTGAATTTGAAAAAAAAGATTTTGTCATCACAGAATTTCTTTCATATGAAATACTAGAAGTTTTTTAGCTTGTTAGAAAATTAAATAAAGAATACATTAAAGCTTTCTTAGCAGAACATACTGTTCAAGAAATATTTCTCAATAATAATTTTATAGACAACTTTACGAGGTCTTGTACTTACAATATTCATGAAACTGAAACGAGTGATCATAAAACACACAAAATAGAAAATATTATCACAAATACAATTGAAACTGCTCTTTCTACCAAAGAAAATAATAATATTATTTTGACTATTAACGAAGAGGAACTAAATTCACAAATGGACATACTTAACGATGATAATATGCTTACAGATATAAATATAATAAGATACAATAATCTCCTTTCATCTCTAATGTCTACTAATACACTACAACCCATATGGGTTGATTTGAGTCTAATCACATAGTAAATTTGAGTGATAAGATCAGGTGTAACATGATATTACAATGTATATAAACAGCATTTTATAGTAAAATCTGTAATATTATCTTGTAAAACCAATCGTCATTCTGTCAAAATAATTGCAATTATGAGTTGCAAATTAGTTTTAAATTAGTTTTCATAATATTAAAAGAATTAGAAAAAAATAGTTTAAAAAGTTTTTCGTTACAAGTCAGTTTTATTTGTAAATAATAAAATATTTTTACATGTGTTTTATGTTAAAATAGCATATATATTAAAATCAAGTTAAAGAAATAACCAAAGTAATCAAAAGGAAACACTAGTTTTTACGAATGGTACTTTATTTCTTTAATTATATTTATTAAACTCATAATAATATAATATTTAGAATATATAATATTAAACATTCAATAAAATATTTTTTAAATGATTATTCTATGAGATATTTTTTACACCAATATCCTATAAATTCATTTATAACAGTACAGTACATATCAGAAAACCATTCTTTTTACTTTTGGTATAAAGTAATATCTTTAGGATACTATCCAACACCAGTCAAATTTACATAAAAAAATTCTAAAGATTGTATTCAATATCAAATACCTGACAATTATAGTATAGAAACTGAAGTTTCTAAAATAAAGATCTATTGTGAAATAAAATACCAGCCAAATAGAAAAGTAAGGTTTATAATAGTATAAAAAGAAATAGATCAGAATGGAGTATATATACACTGGTCAAAATAGTCCAAATCGGCTAAAAATTAGATGGCTGATTTTAGGCTGATTTTGATACTATTTATAGCTGATTTGCCATGTTTTCCGATCAGCACAAACAGGTGCTGATAGACACTAATCAACTCCAATCGGACATAGCTATTCAGATTAAATTTAACCATAAATCAGCCTAAAATTGACCTTAATTTAGCATCATTAAGCATTAATTCGAAACTTAAATAATATAAATTAGCTTAAAATTGACCTCAATACAGCAGGATTAGTCTGGCTACAAGTTTATTGAACCTCAATAACCAATAGCTAATAATAATATAAGTTAGTAATAGTTTATTTAATTATTAGCTATTGAGGCGTAAACTGGTTATTTGTTTCAATAAACACAATAAACTTTAATTTGGCTGATCATTTATTCATTTATTGAAGTTTATTAGAGTTTATTGTCTAACGTTATTTAAAAAATTGATTATCGATCAAGATGTAACACTAATGTAATCAAAATAAATTTTTTTTTTCAGAAAAAAAAAAGTTTTTTTTTTTGTTAATTGCTTTTTTTTCGTTTGTAAAATTCAAAAGGAGGAAAAAAAAGTTTGCCTAACTTTCTTCTGTGTATTATTAAAAGAAAAAAAAACTAGCACATAGGGAATTATTATTCCTCTTAAACGCTAATTTTTGGAAAGTTTTTTTGTATCTTTTTTTTATGTAAAAAAATAATATAGTACTGTGGTATTAATTTAATATTTGTATTTAAATTTTATAATTAATATTATTAATCAGATTATCCTTTTTACTTTTATACTTTTGTTTTAATTAAAACTTTTGATAATGTCAAAAAAACTACATAATGGTAAACCACTACACAAATGGATTGGTTACTTCTATATTTTAGATGAAAAACGGAATAAAACTTATAAGACTGCTAAATGTTTAGCTTGTATTAATACTAATAATCCGTCATTGATAGTTGAAGAAATGAATAATAAGAGAGAAAAATGTCAAAACCATTTAAGAGATTGTTCACAATTTAAAGCTCAATTTAATGAAGAAGAATGGGCTTCTATATATACTAGTATTCTTTAGGAACAAGAAAATGATCGTTAAAAACAGTTAAAAAAGCACATAGTAAAAAACGTTCAAGAGAAGTTTATGATGATAATCAAGATGTAACTTCATTAGTTTCTATACTACTAAGTATCAATTTAACAAGATCCTTATCTACACAATCTACACAACCTACTTTTACTGATACTCAACTAATTAATAATAGTATTCTTTTTTATATGCCTCGACTTATCACTAAAAGTACTAAACATTGGCATAATCTTGTATTAAGAGCTACTGTATCTTGTAGTTGGCTATTTAGGTGGGTAGAAAATGATGAAACACGAGAATAATTCATTTTGCTAATCCAGCATTACCTTTACCATCAAGAAAAAATCTAGCTGAAAATATTTTAGAAAACACAGCAAAAGATATTAAATTATCACTTGAATCAATTGCATAATCAGAAAAAATTGGTCTTACAGTTGCATTTGATGGTTGGAAGAATGTAGTTAAGTAATCAATTCTTGAAACTGTAATAATTATATCATTAGGACGTAGTATTGTGTGGGAAGCAAAGGATATTTCTGCTAAATGATCAAGATCTGAAGAAGCTATTAATCAAATAGAAACCTAGTTAGATGAAAATAAAAAAAAAGAATTAAAAATTATTTGTGTAATTACAGATTCTGCTAGTGCATATACTGCAGCTAGATCATATTTACGTTAAAAACATCGTGAATTGTTATTTTTATTTTGTTTTATGCATTAAGTTAATCTAGTTGTAGGTGAAATATTCAAAGAATCTTCAGATTATCATGAAGTATCAACTAAAGTAATACTTCATCTTATTTTTTGGGAAAACTTTGTGAAGAGTAAAAATTAATTTATGATAAAGTAATTACTTTACAATAAGATGGAATAGCCATTATATATGTTTTAATAGTTTAGTTAAAACTGAAATTGCACTTAAGATTCTTGTTACTAAAT